GCCCTCACCATGGCACCAGAGCAACACCAGCGCCACCGTCCAGCCCTGAGCTCTACCGCACGGTCGCTCCCACCACTGCAGCAGATCTAGCTCAGCCGCCTGCCCAAGCTCCACAGCCCAGCGCCGCAACAGCTTGCTGCTGCCTCCAACCCCACACGACGCGCAGCGCCCGAACTGCCATCGTCGCTCGCCACCAGTCTCCCTTTCTCATCCATTGCCGCACACTGCTGACCAGCTTCCATCGCCGCTGCTTCCGAGCTCCAAGCTCCACCTCACGAACCACCTTCAGCAGCTCCAAAGTTCGCCGCCAGCTCCCAGCCACACCTACCTCGTAGCTCCCCCTTTGCTCTCTCTCCATTTCGCGTGCCTCCGCCATCGACTCCACCAGCGCTCGAGCTCGCGCTATACCAGAAGCATTCGCCGCCGCCCCTGCTCTCACTCTCTCCGACGCCACCAGCAGCCGCGAAGCTACCCGCTGTTCCCCTCACTCTCCCTTTCAAGCTCATGCTCTGCCGCGGCAGACCGCCGCCAGCCGCCGCTACTCACTCCATTCCCACCTGTCCAAATTGACAGGTGGAGGTATTGTATTTTCCCATTCGATTAGTGTTTTCCTGGTTCATCAATTGCTGGATTTTGCACATTTTTCGGGGGTTTTGAGATGGCTGAAACCAGGAAGTAATTTGGGAATTTTCTGGGGTTCATTTTGGGTACAATTGAGTCAAATTGGTGCATTCTTTGGGGTTGATTTGGGAGTTAGTTGACCATTGTTTCTGGCTTTAATTTCCGTTCATTTTTGGCGCTGTTTGGGTGTTCGAATCTATTTTGTTCACTGGATTGGTTATTTGCTTTAATTTCTCCCTATGTACTCACCAGTGGTACTGGTGATGGTAGTTGTTTAACATCTGATAATCCTGTGTTCTGGATTGCCTAATTAAGCGAGTTGTGCCTATTGGGCGTTTTTGGTTGAGTCGTTCCAGTCCACCCTGTGTTTGAGTTTCTTTATAGCTAATAGCAGGGGTGATTTAGGCATATTCTGGGGGTGCTTTTTGGACAGAATTGGATTTAATTGCTGCCATAGTGGGGGTATTTTCTGTTATTTATTGAATTATTGGCCGCTTGATTACTTTTCCCTGTGACTCACCAGTGGTACTGGTTGAGATCTTTTGCCTACAATTGTGGCTTCTATTTGAAGTCACTTGCTTATTTTGAAGGTTCATTTCTTGTGGTTGAGTTGCTGCCATTGAATTTAATTCTTTCCTGTCTGTGCACCAGTGGTACTGGTTGCGGTGTTGCTTACAATTCTTAAATTTTCTCGAATTCTAATCGGTAGTTGCTGGAATTGCTTGTTTGCTGGGATTCTTAAAATTCTTAAGGCTTGGTATCTTGAAGTGGCTAATTGAATGTCCACTTGGTGACATTTGTTGAGTTTCACTTGCTCCAATTGGTTGAATTCATTGCTCTGTTGGGGTTCCTACTGGTATCACTTGAGTTCTGCTTTGTTAGTTTCTGTATCGTGCCCCTTGATCTTATTTTGACTGAATTGGAGACCCAGTGCATATTCATTCAATTTGCTGTGTTTTTCGGGTACTTTTCTAGCCTTTGGGGTGCCTCAGTTGTGCTTTTTATTAATTGGGTTGGCCATGTGGTTCCCTCCTTTCCTGTGTATACACCAGTGGTACTGGTTGGGGTATTATAACTACATTTGTTGCCACTTGGTTCTAGTTGGTGGGCTACTTGATCGAAAACTGCCAAACATTTTGATTTAGTTGTAGTCCAAAATTTGAACTACTATTGCTGGTTTTGACAGTTTCTTGGCTCATTTGCTAATTTCGGTTGGTTGAGTTGTGTAATTTCTTATCCAATTGGAGCCATTTGGACAGATTTTGGGTGGGCAAGTTTTGTCGCTCTCTGTTGATCTTTGGGAGGCATTTCTGACCGTATTCTACGTATTCAAATTGGTTGAATTCACTGCTTTGTCGAGGTTATTTTTGGTATCACTTGAGTTCTACTTTGCTGATTTCTGTCTTGCGTCCCTTGAAGTGCCTTTGGTTGGGTATTTTCTTCATTTGTTTGTTGAATTGGAAGGCTACTGTGCCACTTCCATTGCTTATTGCTGTTGGTGGCGTCTAATTGACTTGCTAGGAGTATTTTACCTATTGATTTCAATTGCTAAATCTTTAGAGCATTTGTTGCGATTTTGGACTACATTGTTCCTGCATTTGACCCAATTGGGGCCACCAGTGAGTATTGATTGAAATTGCTGTATTGTTGGGATATTTGTATAGTCTCTAGGTGCCTGGGTTGTGCATTTTGTTGATTGGGTTGTCTACGAGGGAGGCACCAGTGGCTATTAAATTGTTATTGTTGTGAATTTGCTAAGTGGCCTCTCCCACCGATGGCCTCTGATGCTCAGTGGATGAGCGAGTAATGCATATCGCCAACCAGGTGGCTCCAATCCCTAAGAACCTGGCCGCGTATTTCCACCTGAACCGCCCCTCTTTTGATGACTTCAGGGAAGTACCGTTGCCCCTCTCCTTCCTTCTACTTTTACATTATCACATTGAGAGCAATGTGTCATTTAGGTGTGGGGGGGGGGAGATCAGTTTGGGTGCTAGTATTTTTAGTTTTTAGGTTCTAGAGGTTTTTCCTTTGTTTTAGTTTGATATTTATCTCCTTTTTCATTTATTTTCTTTTCTTTTTTCTAGTGGTCAGCTCTTCTATAACTACCAAGTTTTGATGCTGGATTGTTGCCTCTAATTCTGCTATTGCCAAGTTTTAGTAATAAAAGGATATCAAGTTGATGTGGTTGAGTTCAGGAATATCTCTTTGGTGAATAGCAATAATTGCTTAAATTTTCCAATTTTTGGTTAACTTTTCTAGGCATAGGGAATGATTGTTGGCATTTTTCATGTGAATTGGTCAAATTATTAATTTTAGTTCTCCATGTTTGGAAATTTGAGGCTGGCTGCTGTTATTTTTGTGATATTTTCTAGTTATTGTGGTATGTTATCATAAATAAGAGGTGACTGTACTCCACTAGTTGTTACTACTGAGTAACCGGGGATCTTCACCTAAAGTGTCGATTCTCGCGTCAAAAGGTAGTAGTTACTATGAGTGCGTGGTCCCGTAGCAATTAGAACTGAGTAACCGGGCTCCTCCATCTGTCAAATGTTGGAGTTCGCGTCAAAAGGCTCTAAGGGCTATAGACTAAGTCTTTTGTTACTCAAAACAAAAACAAAAAAAAAGGAAAAAAAAAAGAGGAAAAAATAAAATAAAGATTGTGTTAGTATGTGAATAAGTCAGCTTGCCGGTTTGTGATCTTAATGTCGAGATTTTGGTTAATAGTTGGACCATTTACTGATAGATGTGAGCAACCATTCCTTTTCCTTAGATTAGTTTGCTTTAAATTGGAGGAGTTGGTGATTGGGAAGCTAACCGGGTGATTTTTCTTTGATTTTAACCTGTGATGCTTGATATATGTTTTTTTGGGTATCTTGGCAATACGGTAGTTGGAGCAACAACCATTGTTAAATTTTGGTGTTCAATTGCTGTTCTTATGCTTGAGGGCAAGCATGATTTAGGTGTGGGGGGAATTGATAGGGTGTTAATTGTTGGTTATTTTATTGTTAATTTCACCTTTATCCTTGCCAAATATTGTTTTAATTATTAATATTTACTTATATTTGGTATTGGACTCAATTTCAGGAAGTGTAACAGAAAACTACAAAAAGGAGGTACTTTTTGGAGAATATGGAGACTTCTAAATACTCCACAGGCTTGGCCCACATTGCTAAGAAGGACCGGATTTCCATTTCCCTTTTTGCTGACTAGGAGTCCTACCAAGAGTAAACGTAATACAAGGAATGGCGCTGAACCTTCTTTGGAGGATTTGGACTCTCAATTTTGGTGGGACCAGCAAGATAAGAAGCCTTAGTCATTTGGGCTCTTAAAAGAAACAAACGTACAGAGGATTGGTTTTCCTTATCCGGCGGGACCACGGAGAGAAGTGAAGAAATTTGTTTTAGATTAGGAGACAATTCTTTTCCTTTGGCCGCGGCTTTATCTTTGGGGAATTGGGAGTTTTTCCGTGGTTCTTACTTATCGTGTTCCTCTTATCAATCAATAGTTTTAGTTTAGACAGTTTTTAGTATAGTTTTTAGTTTTCTTTTCTTGGCTCTTTCGCATGGTTGTTCTCCATTAATGGAGGACTAACCTCTTAATTCTAGTCAAGGGGACAACTGAAGACTTGGTTCAACAATTACTGTGAGATCTAATTTATTTTAATTGCTTCCTTAATTTATTGGTATTTATATGTTTCCTGCTTTTAATTGCTATAGCTCGTGTGAGTGATTGAATAGATGCGCAATATTTAATTTTTCACATAGGCTATTTTGCTAAATAGGGATAATTGAATCCGTAATTGTTCATTATCTTTATCTCAGTAGCAACTGGCGTAATTGGGTTTATGTCAGGGGAGCATACGATCTAGTTTAAACAAACCCTCGTAGCGTGTTTGTTAGTTAGGATTGGGCCTTTCTAATTATTAATGCAATCTAGAAATTAAATCCTACGGTCGTACCTAGAGTTGTTTTTGGGTTAGAAAAATAGTTAACGGTCGTACCTTAACTATCGAGAAATTAAGGAAAGGTTGGTTGTTTATCGCGTGCATGACAACTATAACTAATCTATTAATAAATATGGAATTATCTGTGAATCAATGATCAGTGCCTGAACCATTTCTGAAGTGTACCCTTGGCTAGAGTTTTCTCTTAATTATTTCTCTTAATCAATTATTTCCTGCAGTTAATTTATTTAGTTCGTATTTAATCCAAAAACCCCCCATACTTTGGATTCTAGAAGAAACGAATTATCCCCAGTCCCTGTGGATTCGACCCTACTCACCGCTATATACAAAATCTGTATTTTTCTCGAGTAGGTATTTATTATTGTACAGGTTCGGCACCTGTCAAATACGCATTATTCACATTAACAAAGTGGCCATGCTGGCTGAAATGTTTAAACTCTTAATCCTGATACTTGCACTTTGTCCTTCAGCTATTGATTCTTCTTTTCAATACTTCAATATGGTTGAACAGTGGCCGGGTGGTTATTGCCAGTTCCACAGATGCCGAAGAGTTCCTTGGCCAAATGATTTCACTATCCATGGCCTGTGGCCAGCAAACCACACTGGCACAGTGGAAAATTGCAAAAAAACCGGATTTGCTCCAATACAGGTAACTTTTACTACTAATTGAAACTTTAGACACGAGATGTGGATTTATTCTTGTTTACTCTTAACTTCAAAGGATTATTTCCAGGATGAAAACAAATTTAAACAACTGGACTCAATCTGGCCTAACCTTGACCAACCAAGACCAGAATATGACAGATTAGGAAGTCGTGTCCTAGCCCAATCATTTTGGGGACATGAATGGAAGAAGCATGGGACGTGTTCCGAGAACATGTACAACCAGACTCAGTACTTCGATCTTGCTATTAAACTGAAGAATCGATATAATCTTTTAAGCATTTTAGAACAGGGCGGATTATCCCGGGGCCACAGTCATGAAGTAAGTGACGTTAACTCTACGATTTGGCGTACAACTCATGGGACTCCGGATCTAAAATGCCTGAACGACGCTCGAGTTCACCGCAATGTGCCAGTACTGCAAGAGATAGGAATCTGCTACCGACCTAGCAAAAACCGAAGTGGGCAAGTTTCTTTTTCCGTCATTAACTGCCCTCATAGCCGTACCAGGACGTGTTATCGAGGGCTAGGAAACGGCAAGATTGTATTTCCGTAATACGCTTGTTCTACTGCATTTTTTTCCAACTGATCCTAGTCTGATAAGAGACTGTCAAGAAATGTTGTGGAAAGTTACTTATATATATGCTTGAAGCATGTTTGGTTAAAGTACACTTGATGATTATATTTCATATTGGGGAAGATTGGCTCGTATATTTTACTTTTTTAGGTACTTGGGGGGATTTAATTGATGGTTGGATACACTAAGCTAAGCAAGCAGTATATTCTCCATCTTATGGTGAAAAAACAAATTAAAAAACTTTTACTAGTAACTACTGGGATTCACTTCTACTTAGTCAAAACAAATGATCACTTAGGTCGGGCAAATTTCAAACACAATTTCTAACAGGTTATACACTATGCTTATGAGACTTAAATTGTTGGTGTCCTATGGATTGTCATCAAAATCATAGTTTGAGTCAGTGGTGAAGCCAAGATTTCGACTTCCAGAAGTAAAAAATGAAAATTTTAACAATACAGTCTTTAAATACTTAAGTTTTAAAATTTGGAGAGCAAGGACATAATACCATAATTTCTTTTGTGCAAATATTAATTTTGACATTTCTTTTAGAGCAAAAGAAATGCATGAAAATAATGTCTACTTCATAAAATATCCTCAAGTTTGGAGGGGCAAGTATCTAATATTGGAATAGTGTTATAATGTGAATATTCATAATAAATATAGGATTAATCTTCTATACACCGATAATGTATACACTTTCATTATTAAGTGTATGATATATAATCTAAATTTGAATTTAAAATCCAAACTTTGTATATATGTCATACATTCAACCACGATAGTATACATACTATTAGTATATATAAAATTTACTTATAAATATAAGATATTTAAAAGTATAAGGAGACATGAGATTTTGGAAGGTCTTTGGGGACAGCTGACCCTCCCGAGCCCCACCTTGCTTTCACCCTTGATTGAACTTATACGAAGCAAAAAAGTCTTGCCACTAAAAAAATGAAGGGAGAGAGAAGTCACTACAGTCTTTACAACTCTCTTAAGTGATGAAAGTTATAAAAGAGATGGGAACATGCAAGATCAGAATTTTTAATTTCTTCCTTTTTTTTTCGTTTAACCTTTAAGAACCTCAATTTCAATCAAGCTTGTTGGATTGTCATACCAGCAAAAATAAAATTTCTACTTTAAAAATATAAATTCGAATATAGCAGTGAATAAGATCGTATCCTTAAGGACTAGATGATTTATTTTCTTGCAAAGTAACAATGAATAAAAATGACAGATTGGTGAAATATAGCTAAATAACTCAATCAAATAAAGATAATAATGCAAAATTAAATAGAGCTAGATCAATAAAAGACAATAATCTAGTTAGAAGGCCAATCTTCACTTTTGGTTCATCTTAACTGATCATTGATGCAATAATAAAAATGATTTATTAATAAATAGATTGGTTATGATTGTCAATAAACTCTGACAATCTATGTCTCTTTACTGTCTTGATAACGACAATAATCTGTGTGATTATTTTCCTTGCCAATTAATTAAACAACCTTAAACAAGCACTTAGGATTTAATTTATTGACAATGTTAATTATTAGAATGGCTATCAATTCTAACCAAAAACATACAAACTCAGTTTAGGTTAGATTATATACTCCCGTGACATAAATTCGAAAGTTTCTACTACAATCAAATCATACCACTCACCACAGATACTAAAACTACCAAATGATTACGGATTTGGTATTTTAGATCACAGTAGACTATTTCAACAATTAAATAGTGATTAATTATTTAATTGCACAAAATAATCATTCTCATGAACGAACAGGAAATATGCAAATACTTATAAATAAATGAAACAATAAAAACAATTAGACCTCATAGTTTTCGATGAACCAAAGTTTCGATTATCCTCTTACTAGAAAAAAAAATTAGCCACTCCTCATGATTGATTCGCAGCCAAAAATATGATTAGGATTTATTATTTTAGAGAAAATGAAGCAAAGGATTAATGGAAAATTTGTTTCCAACTAATGACCAAAAAGGAAAAAGGAAGCCGAGGAATAGATAGCTCCTGTTGGCTTTCTCATTCCTTAATGTCTGTGTGTCTAAGGGCATGTTTGGGGTTGTAGTAACTTATTAAAATGTACTTCACCAATTGAGCATTTGATAAAAGTACTTATTAAGTGGTTAAGTGCTTTTAAGTATATTGTTTGGATACATAATTCAATAAGGGTCCGTTTGGTTGATGGGATGACACATGATTGGATTAGTCATATTGTGTCATCTTATGTTTGATTGCATTTTATAGATAGGATAACACATTCTACCCAACCAAATTAATACTCTATTCATGGGATAAAATAATCCCATGGGGGAGGCAATATTAGTTATCTTAGGATGACTAATAGATAGGATAATACAATTTTAAACTAATTTATCCTTATAAAAAATAAAAATTTATACTCTTATAATTATATAACCCTACTCCCACACATTATAATATGAATGGACTAATTTGCCCCTCCTAATTAATTTTAAAGTTTTTGACTAATTTGCCCGTACTACAAGCATAATAATATTTGGACTAATTTGCCCTTATAAATAATTCAAATTCAACTGACTATTATATAACCATACTCTCACACAAATGATATGATAATAAATGGACTAATTTGTCCCTATCCATTATTTTAAATTTTTGACTAATTTGTCCCTATCCATTATTTTAAATTTTTGACTAATTTACCCCTATTAATTAATTTAAATATGTTGACTAATTTGCCATACTAATATCATAATAGAAGGACTATATTGCCTTTGAACTAAATTACCCTTGCTAAGCTTATTGTCTAAACCAAATTCTATATATATACATAACCTTATCAATTGGGCTTTGTAAATGAGAGCTTCAATAAGCTCAAGCTCGGTTTGAAGAAAAATCTTCTATATTAGCTTGAGTTCGGTTCATATAAATCTCTTAAATGGGTTAGGTTTTAATCAATTTACCTTTAATTCAGCCAAAACTCGGCCTATTATTTAATTGAATTTCAAATTTTGGTTCAAAAACTTGGTCAAAATTTCTTTTTAAGTGTTTGAATGGGCTAAGTTTAAGTAAATGCAAATTTTTATATATCAAAACCTTTGATTTACTTTATAATTCTAAAGTTTCAAACTACTCTGTTTTAATAAAGCTCTAAGGGATAATTTCAAAATCCTCCCTTGATGATAAGAATATATTTTACGTATTTTTTAGTGTGTTTTATTAGTTAATTTTGGTTTGATTATTTAGTTTTATAACTAAAATAACTAAGGTTTTGGTAAAAAACTACATTTTATGTTAAAGTGGCTAAACATTGCATTTTATGGATTTTTATGGTAAAAACTTCATATTTTGTAGGTTTAATGATTTAATCATCAAATGAAGTGCATTGAGAAGATATTTGGATGATTGCAGATGGATTAAAGTGGTGAAAATAAAATATGAAGTGTAAAAGGAGAAATGCAATTTGAATCAAGAAAAATCAGCTTTGATAACTCTGACATGTTTTGGCATTTTGACTATATCTGGAGCTACACATATTGGACTGAGGTGATCTTTATACCATTTTGAATCTAAGAAATAGATCTAAATTCGGTATGAAGACATCAGAATCCAATTCAGCCGATTAATCAGTCAAAAAGTCGAAATACCATAATTCAACACTGCTGTCCAAAGTTGAAAACAGGGATTTGACCAGGGGTTAGTATTTTGGTCATATCTCAGTCTAAAAATCTCCAATTTGGATGATTTTTGAAGCATTGGAAAGCTAATTCAAGGGGCTACAACTTTTGTGTTTTACACAAAAGCCAGTTCTGCTTGAATCATGGAGAAAATTTCAGTTTAATGAGGCCAAGTTGAATTCGCGAGTTGAATAAAACGCGACTGTAAGCGCGTTTTGTGTAGGCGCGTTTTCTGGCCGAAATTCTGCAAGTTGCTCATTCATTTCTCTTGTGATCAGACTACTTTCCAGCTATAAGTTGCAAGGGAATTCGGTGCACATGCTTCAGAAGACAAAAGAGCATACAACATGGCTTATTCCAAGTCAAAAGCCATTATTTTTTACTTCCTTAACAAATTCAGATTTGGAGAATCATTGCAGAAATTTTGGACCAGTGGAAAGGCACCTCATATCAGTTTTATATAGAGAGCAATCAGAGGGGATAGAGAGACATACGGGAGAAGCTTGGAGTCTGCAGAAATGTAGCTCTTTTCATCTTCCTAGTGTTAGTTTAGCTTAGTATAGAGTAAGATAGTTCATCCATTCTTGTTATTAGCTAGATAAAGAAGAAGATGGAGGATGAAGAAGGCAAGGAAGAAAGCTCATGTAACAAGGGTTGTATTCCTTCCAAATCTTTATTTTTTGTACTTGATTCCAAGTTTAGTTAATATACAAGTTCTGGATTTTGTGTTTAATATGTGTCTCTAAAGTTTAAGCCTTGGGTTTGGTTGAACTTTCTATGATTGTTAGTGTTTATTATTTGGTTATTTGATTGCTAAGATTTGAGCAAATTATTTAGCACTTTGGCTCTTTAAATCATGATTAATCTGGTACCATTAATTGTTATTATCTAAGGTGTTGTTTCTGCAATGAAAATTGAGATTTAACACTAGTTCAAGAAGTGCTAAACATAGGGAGTACACTCACGAAAGTAGAGGTGCACTTATATGGTTTTTAGTAATTCATTTCATGTAATTTCATTGAAGAAATGAACTTGTAGCTAATTTCATAACCATGAAAATAGGTATGGATTAGTTATGAGTATAGTTGATTCACTACGAAAGTAGGTTTCACATGTTTAAGGAAATTACACTATAACTAGCCTAGATGTAGTACTAAATGATCCAAATATAGCACTTGCATGAGTAGTTAGGGATACCACAACCTAAGGAGCTTTTATTTGTCATTTTTTCAGTAGGTTAAATTTGTTATAATTCATTGATAGTCTAAATAATAGAGAAGCTCTAGTAATACCGGGAATTGTTCACTCTTCCCTGTGGGATCGACCCGATATATACCCTAAACTACTAGTTGACCTGTATACTTGCAGTGAACGGGTGTAATTCGGTTTTTTTAACTTGCACGTATGTAAAATACCCGTCACTTGACATTTCTAATAATTTCACTGCCCTCTCCCGAAGTTTTGGAAATATCACTTACTTCCCCTATAAGTCATTTGGGTGTGATAACTCCACCTTCTCCTAGGGCGTATCCTAGAAATTAGCGGACCGCATGCTTGGCTCTCGCCAAGGCTCATTTATTAACATTAACTTTAGAGATAACATTTCACACTAATCATCCAAATATCCATACTTAATACTACACTATCAACTCCAAACAAAAGTTTCAGTCATTACAAGATACAAAGCAATTCTTAATAACAATATATACTCTAAGTTGGATCTTTCATAATCTTTCTAATGACACTTGTCCATTCTCCAAACTTCGACCCCTATAAGGAAAAACAAAGTTACATGATTGAGCTAAAACTCAGTGAGGTTCAAAAGTATACGATCAATAACATTACAAAACATTTCTTGAGCATAACCGACCAGGAGAGCAATTCAATAGAGTAGACATTCATTTAAAAGGATACAACTTCTTCTCACTCCATCATTCTTTCCCCTTATAACCTCTAAAACAGTAAACAGTCCCCGTCAATCAATTAGCAGTTCAATAATCTCCACTCTTCCCAGTAATACTTGAGTATACCATTCAATTGCTCAAGGTAGCCAACCTAATCGACCAAGTCCTTTATTGGCTCGACTAGATTAGCTTGCCAAGGCTTAGGGCCCAATTCGGCCGAAGTGATAAAGTACACTACGGTCTACAATTATTCATGCACGATGCAATGTTCATTTACCATGATATCCAGTTCAAATCATTAAGGCAGAAGCGATTATGTATGCTTTAATCCTTTTCTCAATAAAATTTCAAAAGTAAGCAATACCATCAAATAATCATGCACAAGCAACTTAAGAACACTCACTCTAATCAAAACAAGTTATTCTTGAACCTCGGAGTTGCTTTCTAGCTCACTGTTGCCCCCTGAGACAAGTTTATGATTCTAAAGTGAATATTCAATTTATATACAGCCACTCATCTTGTGAGAACCCGTAAATTTCCCGTATTTCATATTATTTTATTTTATTTCCTCGCATGCATTTTTCTTCACTATACCCTATTATATTAATTTTCCAGAGATTTTTATGAGTGAATATAGTTTATAAAATCATTTTCTGGTATAAGTTAGCTTATATTAATTTTGAATTGTATTAAGGACGTGGGATCCGCTAGTGCAGTTAGTGCGATAAAATTTTGACCACTAGTTGAAGTTTTGTACTAAGTGATATTATTTTATAAGGTGCTAGGAGATAATTAGAGGTTAGATAGATAGATTAACCATTGGGAGAAAGAAGATAAGCTTAAACCCTAAAAGGTGTCAAGTGTCGCGACCCGATTGGAGTTGGACTTTGACCAACTTCCTTCATCTTTACTAAATCAAGAATTTTGACCAAAATTCCTTTCATTTTCCTTCTTGCTTGGCCGGCCATTGAGAGAAAAAAACAAGAGAGAGATTTCACTTTGTTCTTCAATTTCTTGTCCAAATTTGGAGTTTCAACTGATTAAATTGCAAACCCTTCCATAAAAGTGTTATCTAAGGAGGAATAAAGGTCTTGGTGGAGTGATTCTTGTAGAAGAAACCCTAAGCTATCATCTTTCCTATGCTTCCAAGGTAAATTTCCTAGAAAATTCCTTTTTGCTCTTAATAATTGCATCATAGTGGTTTAGAGTTGTTAAATATGTAGTTTTGTGAGAATATTTCATAGTTTGAGGTAGAGTTATGTAAAATTCCAGTTTTGTGGTGAAATTTCTGCTCTCATGTGAAGCTTAAGGGTTGACCATGATTTATTAGCTTTGATGTATGGAAAACTTTATGTTTAGGTGCTAGTTAACTTTGCCTAAAGAAATTTCCAGCTTATGTACTTAACTTTCAGATTTAGGGTTTCAAATTTGGCCTTGAAGATGGTTGATATTGGAGCTATTAATTGGCTTTATATTAAGGGTGTTATGGCCCTAAAAGAGTATGTTTAATGACTTGTAATTTGTATGTGCAATTGAGATGAATTGGTGGTTGTTTGTAGGAAGGAAAAATAGAGAATTTAGAGGGAGGTGCTGTTGAATTTTCTGCAGGAACCCTTGAGCAGTCTTGGGAAAACTGCTATATCTTGAGGTAGAAAAGTTGGAATCAAGTTTCGTTCATTGTGTTTGAAACTAGATTCAGAGTAGTTTCTACCGTCCAAATTTCATGATTTTTCTTAATTCCTAGGAATATCTGTGATTTTTCAAACTTAACTGAAATTGCATACCTGTTCTGTCTTTTGCTGGATGAAGCGACAACTTGAGGCTCGAATTTGACTGACTTGTGTTCTGAATCTTACCATAGTGTCTTCTGGAAAGTTGTAAATCTTTGAATCTATTTTCCATGATTCTTGACTGCTATTATTTTGGTATCTCATTGAGCGTAAGTTCAGCCCCTTCCCGTTATCTTTGTTTTCCTTATAGGGGACAAACTTTGAAATCATGGTTTTGGAAGAAAGGGTCGAGCTAGTGTATATGTTATTTTGTTAAGCTCTTTTGCAATCGAAACCCTAATTGTATTTTGAATAGTATGAATACTTTGGCTTGTATTTTAGTTAATTGGTTCAAGACTCCGATGTAAATATATGTATAAGTGTTTAACCTTGTCTATTAAGTGTATTTATTTGAGATGTTACGCTTCTATGGCTTTGGTGAACGTTTCATGTAACCACTGGACGATCGGACACGGCGTTTGAACAAGGAAAGAAAATTTCTGCGTTTATATTACAGTTGTATTCAAATATCTGATATTGGGATCTTGTAAGTTCTAACACTTTTTCAATCACCAAAAAATTGATCCAGTTCTCAAGGTGCTCCAAAAAATGTGAGCTTGTGCTCAATTGAAGGGAAAAAGTTTAGGTCATAAACCTCTACAGATGTTCAAAAGTTGGAAACTCTATTTTCTTTGTTTTTTCAGAAACTCGATTGAAACAGATTCAGTTCCTGACTCTCAGATAAATGTGCATCTTTCATTTCTTAGAGATGTCACTAGAAATTGAGTACCTTTATCTGTTGAAATAGTACCAGGTGTTTTACGTTAGATGACTTTTATATATAATATAGTGTTAGCTGAGTTGGTCCATTCAAATTTAGCATGCAACATCACTATGTCATCTGTTGATTACCCTAGAAAACCTCCGAATCATCATTTTTTTTATTTAATTTCTTCTTAATTAATTGCAGGTGGTTCTGTATCCATTATTGCTGCCACCTGATCCTGGTGGTGTGGCATAAGGTGTAATATGAAATAGAAAAATATTTTTTGCCATTACTCATGGACTATGAGATTTTTAGCGTCATCTAAGAAACTAGAGAGTTCTTATTCTTCTTCTTTTTCTCTCTTTTTTTTTCATAAAACAAGACAAAGATTTCATTAATTGAAGGAATCTACTATTATGGCAGGATACAAAATGTGAGGAGGGAAATTCCACGTAAATTTTCCTAACAATCTAGCTTGCTTTGATTGATTACATAAAAATGTGCATAAGGTCTTCCCCTTGAGCTCTACATAAGAGGGCAAATATCTTCAAGTTGAATTTGCCTCTGATGAAGGTGAGTAATAGGAAGGCAGAAAATCTTTGCAAGCCCTCCAAAGAAAGACTTTAATTTTATTTCAGGTTCCAAATTTCAGCCAAACTGAATTGTGATTAGAGCTAGATTCCACCAACATCGGGATACTTGAATCATCAATAAGATTCTGATTCATGGCCAAATGGTAAGCACTCCGTACATTAAAGTGTCCCGACTTAGTATAATGCCGGACAAACTTATCCCGACTCGAAGAATGCCCCAAAGGAATGGACTTTATAATCTCAGCTTCATCACTCCAAAAAACAGAATTTGCCAAATCTTCCTTCCATTGACCAAAATTCCGATCAATCAGATCTGAGACCATAACAGGTTCATCCCATTTTCTCCTAGTGACAATTGAACCCCTCTTTTTGACCAGTTTTTTTATCTATTCACAACCCTTGATAGGGTGTATTTTTATTTGTAAATTAGTAAATATTTTTTCCTTTTATTTTGATCCAAAAAATGCGTTATTTGATAGATTCTACTTATATTTTATACTCCCTCCGTCTCATTGAAAGTGTCATACTTTCCTTTTTGGTCTGTTCCAAAATTAATATCACTTACCGCAATTGGCAATAAAAACTTTCCCCCATTTCCATCTCATGCCGTTAAATATACCAAATTCTTTTAAACTTTTGATGGGCCCCAAAAAATTACAAGAATTGCACTTGATTCGCGTGAGTTCCACAACAAATGCAAACAATGGTCGTGCAAGGAACTTTCCCAAAAAATGGCTGAGACATTCTTGATTCACGGGTCCTATTGAGGAAATTACAGAAATTAGTGCAGCAATTTATGGAATGATGCTTTAGGAAATTGCAGATATTAGTGCAGCAATTTACGGTATGTAATTTTTTGGTAGTAGGTTCCTTATCTCTGTAGTTTACTAATTGTATAGGAAATCTTTCTTTGTACAGATATAGAAATTATATAGGTAGGTTCCTTATCTCTATAGTTTAATAATTGTATAGGAAATCTTTCTCTGTACAGATATAGAAATTATATAGGTAGGTTCCTTATCTCTGTATATAAATACACCTTTGAGGTCAATGAGAAGATCAAGGTTTCTTTGATCCCAGTATCTCTGTTCTCTTCATGGTATCAAAGCAATGCCTCCCAAAGATGAAGGAAATTCTGGTTCAGATAAGAAAACTTCCAGTCCTTACGCTCTAAGCCCCAACGACAATCCAGGCAACATAATTACCCAGGTGCAGTTGAAGGGAGAAAATTATGAAGCGTGGGCACGGGCAGTGCAGACTGCATTGAGGACCAAAAAGAAGTATGGTTTCATTGATGGAACTGTGGAACAACCGGCAGATGATTCGCCGGAAATTGAAGATTGGTGGACAGTTAATTCCATGCTGGTTTCATGGGTATTTAACGCCATTGAACCCTCTTTACGTTCAACTATTTCTCTTGTGGACAATATTGAAGATTTATGGGAGGACATAAGGCAGCGCTTCTCAATTGGGAATGGACAAAGAGTCCAGCAATTGCGATCGGACTTGACAAACTGCAAGCTGGAGGGACAGACCATAGTCAATTACTATGGACAGCTTAAAAGCATATGGGATGAACTGAATAATTACGACAAAACACCATTGTGCAGTTGTGGTGGATGCAAGTGCAATCTCACAAATGAACTGGAAAAGAAAAGGGAGGAAGAAAGAGTTCATCAATTTTTGATGGGTTTGGATGAAGAACACTATGGTACTATGCGTGCTAATATTTTGAGCACAGAGCCATTACCCAATTTGAATAGGGTATATGCAATGGTCGTTCAACTAGAACGAGTAAGGACAATGTCACGAACAAGGGAAGAGAAAGGCAACCCCATGAGCTTTGCAGTTCAGGTTGGTAGACGAAATTCAGGGGGGGACAAAACTGTAGTATGCTCACATTGCAATCGTGAGGGACACGATTCAGGTACCTGCTTTTAGCTGATACGATATCTAGATTGGTGGGGAAATAGACCTCGCTCTAGTACTCTAGGACGAGGAAGTGGGCGTAAGCGCAATGGTGGTGGAGGCCGTGACAGGGGTGGTGTACCACGAGCAAATGTCACTCAAACATTTGCAACAGAAGGTGATCATGGAGGAGTCACAGAAACTGACCGAAAGGGGCTTAGTGGGTTGAATGATGAACAATGGAGCACTTTGCTGGGACTTTTGAGTTCACAAAAGACTGTATCCAATGAAAGATTGATTGGTAAGCAAGAAATTTTGTCTTGGATAATAGATTCAGGGGCTTCCCATCATATGACTGGGACAAGGGCCTGCCTGAGAGATATGTCTGACATTATTCCATGTTCAGTCGGAATGCCAAATGGTGAAGCAACTGTGGCACTGAAAGAAGGAACGGTGCATCTTGGAGGAGGATTGAAATTGCAACATGTTCTTTTTTTGCCTAATTTAAAATATAACTTGATCTCTGTTTCACAACTTCTCAGTGACTCAAATCTGGTACTGTAAATCACTAACAAAATTTGTGCTATACAGGACCGAAATACGAGGAGGCTGATTGGAGCGGGTGAACAACACGAGGGGCTATATTTTTTGAAGGCAGTGGGTTCAGCAAATACTTGTAAAACTTTTGGACTTTCAGACTTCAATCTTTGGCATAGGAGAATGGATCATCCGTCGAGTAAGGCGCTAGAGTTGATTTCTGCAGCAAATAAATTTAGTAAAGATAGTGATAATTTAAGTTGTGATGTTTGTTTTAGAGCAAAACAGACTAGGGAGATGTTTTATTCTAGTGGCAATAAAGCTAAGAATTGTTTTGATTTAATGCATTGTGACTTATGGGGGCCTTATAAAGCTTTGGCTTCTTGTGGAGCTGCTTATTTCTTGACTATTGTTGATGATTGTTCTTGTGTTGTGTGGATTTATTTGCTGAAAGGAAAACATGAAGTTGCTTGTGTTCTTAAGAATTTTATTGCTATGGTTAAACGACAATTTGAGAAGGATGTGAAGACTATTAGGAGTGATAATGGCACTGAATTTGTGGGTCTACGAAAATATTTTGATGAAAATGGTATATTGCACCAAACTTCTTGTGTAGGAACTCCCCAACAGAATGGACGAGTTGAGAGAAAACATCATCACTTCCTTAATGTGGCGAGAGTTTTGATGTTTCAGGCACACTTGCCAATTGATTTTTGGGGTGAATGCATTCTTACCGCTAGATACTTAATCAATAGGACACCATCCGCGGTCCTGAAGGGAAAAACTCCTTATAAAATTCTCTTTGGACAACTTCCTTCCTATAATCATGTTAGGACTTTTGGGTGTTTGGGTTATGTGCATAGACAACTTAGAGATAAGGATAAATTTGCCAGTCAAAGCCATAGATATGTTTTTGTGGGGTACCCTTTTGACAAGAAAGGATGGAAAGTGTATGATTTAGAAACTTCTGAGTATCTTGTCTCAAGGGATGTGGTGTTTGTAGAAACAAATTTTTCATACTCTGCAACAATGTTTGCAGGTGAAAATTCCACTAAAAATGCAGATAGAGCTCATGAGCATAAGGATTCGGAAATTATTGAGGAAGATGGGGAGATATTAGAGAAATCTCCTGAAGGCTATCCACCTACTGAGAAAATTGCAGAAATCAGTGCAGCTGAAAATAGGGAGGAAAATTCAGGAGAGGAGGTACTAGTGGGAGATCAGCTTGGTCGTGGACATAGGATTAAATAGTCATCCACTCGTCTGAAGGACTATGTGACAAATAATGTGCAATTCAGCCCCTCACAGAGTTCACCATTTCAACCACATTCCTCAGGTGTGTCTTATGCCATAGCCAATTTTGTTGGCTATGATCAGTTTTCTTCACAACATTGGTCCTTCTTGGCAAGCATTACTGCAGGTTCAGAACCAGTTTCTTATAATGAGGCAATGAGAGATGAATGATGGCGTGAAACTATGAGAAAAGAAATTCAAGCTTTGGAGGAGAATGGAACTTGGACGGTGGAAGACTTACCCGTTGGGAAGAAGGCTATTGGCAGTAAGTGGGTGTACAAAATAAAATATAATTCTGATAGAAGCATTGAGCGATGCAAGGCTCGATTGGTAATTCTTGGCAATAATCAAAAAGAGGGTATTGACTATCATGAAACTTTTGCTCCGACTGCAAAGATGGCCACTATACGTACTTTTCTTGCAATAGCTGCTGCAAAGAACTGGGAACTACATCAGATGGATGTGCAGAATGCTTTCTTGCACGGCGACTTGACTGAGGATGTTTTCATGAAAATGCCACCAGGTTTTGCCTCTAAAAGTCCTGGGAAAGTGTGTAGACTACGAAGATCTTTGTATGGCTTGCATCAGGCACCCCGTTGTTAGTTTGCTAAGCTGGCAGATTCTTTGAAGACGTATGGCTTTTATCAATCTTACTTGGACTATTCATTGTTTGCTTTTCGTGAGCAACATGTACAAATACATGTTCTGGTCTATGTAGATGATCTCATTATTTCAGGTAATGATGCCACAGCTGTGCAGCGAGTTAAGAACTATTTGAGCAGTTGTTTTCATATGAAGGATTTGGGACAGTTGAAATATTTTTTGGGTATAGAGATAGCAAGAAATGCTGAAGGAATTTTTCTTTGTCAGCGAAAATACGCCTTGGATGTCATCTCTGAGGTTGGTTTGCTAGGAGCTAAGCCA